AAACTCAGTTTTAGGGCCCAGATTTTGATCATTGAATCAGAATCTAGTTTTATTTTTGAACTTTTTCAGAATATATTAACATTTGGAAATGTCTAAATATATAGTATGTATAATACAGGCCTGGGACTAGGAGTGAGGCAAGCAAGGTGCCTTGATCATTTTCAAAATAATCTATACAAATATACATCATTTAGTACTCCCATAATTAAATGTTAATTTATACACAATAAGCTTAGTCAACTGAGGAACATCAGACTAAACTGTACACTTAAAAAAATGGTTAAGGTAAATGTTACATGTGTATTTAGCCAAAAAAAGAAAAGAGGAACATCAGTATCTTTACTTATAACTAATCCATAATGACATATAAGATTAAGTTCATTGTTCGTGATAAAGCTAATGAAGGCACTGCATCATTACAAAACAAGCAAAAGAACCAAAAGAATTACATAAGAACGTTAGACTTGGAAATACCTTAAACATTACTTAATCTAGTCATTTCATATTACAGATAAGCAAAGTTAAGCCCAGAGTTAACATCCAGAATCTGATAGTGCTGAACAATGGCTCCTTGAAATTCTATACATCCTTGGCTTCCTTGAACTCTCTGACCTTTCCTTCTACATTTCTGATCATTCCTTTAGGGTTTCCTTCAAGGATACTTTCTCTTATACTGACTACTTTAGAAATGGTATCTGCTTGGCCCACTGCTCTTTCAACTTAACATACTTTTTTGAATTCTCCTAGTTTTAACCATCTGTAGATGATTTCCAAAATTATATTTCTTCCTTAAACTCCAGATATGAATATTCAGTCTAAGAGATACCTGGATATCTCACAGGCATTTCAAATACATGTGTAAATTCAAACTCCCAATTTGCTGCTAACCTTGAAAAGCTGCTTCTCACTATCATGTAATGGCATCACTATCTACCCAGATCAGAACCTGGAATGCCAGTTAGACCCCCTCCTTTCTCTTATTCTCCAAATCCATAAGTCACTAGGTTCTGGTGACTTTACCTTAAGTCTCTCAGGGTTTGCTGTCTAACTTTCCCTATTGTCTAGTGTTTTGAAACCATTGTTTAATATACTTTATCCATTTTTTGGTTGTTTCAGGCAGCAAGATAAATCTGGGCCCTGTTACTTCATCCTGGGCAGAGGAGGATGTTCTCCAGAATATCTTATGTTGTGGAATATTCATGTGTTTACTTATTGGCTTACAAATATCGTAACGATCTCAAATCGCTTGGAATCTTAAATTGGAAGATTTTCCTAGAGCCGTCAAAATATCAGGTAGCCTAATACTAGCTTTCTTAGTCCTTGTTACAACGACTTCTCAAAACGATATCAAAAAAGGGTAATTACACTAAATTAATCCATTTTTTAATGGAATGGGTAAAGGGAATAAGGTTATTTTTGATACAGTTACTTATATCATCATGAAATAATATTTAGAACCAAAGTAAATTTCAAACAGCTATATATTCTTTATAGCTATTATATTCTGGAGAATGCTATAAAGTCATCTAATTCTATAAATCAATAAATACTAATCTGAGATAGTATCCAAATTCACCATGAACCTGGCGGAGCATGCCCTAGGTACCCTTTCAGTAAATGACATTTACCTTGACATCTCCATTTTTCTTTTGGATCATAAGAGTTTTCTAAGGGATCTCTCTAAGAGACACTCCCCACAAAATGCTTCATAGAATGGTTATTTGCCTTTTTCCTGCTAGACCAACAGAACTGTTATATTTCTTTTGTCTCCTCAACATCTAGCATGATCTATAACAAAGATTAAGTGCTGAATGTGAGAATGAATGAAAGAATAATAAATGGAGGGAAAGAGCATTCTATAATGTATTACTAGGCAACTAGCTGTTTTAAAAAAGAAACAAGTTTATAGTAGGGTACTAAAAGGTTAACATGCTTATGATCATTAAGTAAATACTTATATTCCAACAGAAATTTTTGGGAAATACAATGTTTAACAGAAAGGATATAAGAAATTTCATAAAGTGAATATGTCATAAAGTGACATATTAAAGAGCAATAGGGCCTTGGAGCCAATCCTCAAATTATATTCCACCTCTTCATCGACTCCAGAGCTACATTTCTGAGGAAAGTATAAGATAATTAATATTAAAAAGACACATAAAGTCCAAGAGATCTGTTACAGTCCCACTACAGTGGAACTTCTATTTCTATATATATATATATATATATTACATATACATATTTCATACATATGAAGCGAATACTATATAAGGTTATTTTGGTATCAAAGCACTTTCACTAGAATGGAGGAGGAAAACTGAGCAAGAAAAGAAAGGAGCTGTGTTGCCAGGAAAAGAAAGCTGTAGATGAGAGTCAAAAGAAAGCAAATTTTTGTAGTAGGATAGACATCTAAATTTAAGAGATATGTCCATGAAAATCTATTATACACTAAATAAGTCTCAGAAAAGACACAAAGAAAACATATCTTTCCTACCACAGTTTTTGGTCCCAGTTTAATGAAATCAAAATACAACTAACTTCTGAATACAACTGGCTTAAAGTACAGTGCTAACGAAAAACATGATATGTAAGGTAAAGTGCTAGAAAGAGATCTAATAATATTTGGATTATTCCTTTCTTCCATGAAATATTATTTGTGTCAAACTATAATCTAGAACCTCAGATTGAACTATAATCAGATAAGTTCACTGTTATTTATTTATATAATAATTATAGTAGAAATATGTGCTCAAAGTAGTTACTCGTCTTCTTAACTTACTAATCACTTTAGCATTTACATTTATTGACTACTAAATACACCATAGATTACTCCCTCTAGAAGATTACAAAATAATACATAACAAGATGATAGGTATTACTCATCAGGGAAAAAACATTTATTTTATTGGTGATTTAAATAGTAGAAACAGAATGTGTTAAAACAGTGAAATTAGAGGACCACATAAAGGTCAGTAAGGCATTATGTAGAAACACAGGAAATAAGAAAGACTTCTTAAGTTTACTATTTTATGACCACAGACTAAACTAAGAATGCAGATTGAGGTTGACCAAATTGAGAAAAAGAATAAAACTGAGATACAGTTGCCCATGTATCATCCTCATTCCCATCAGTAATACATGTCCCTTGAGATTAAAGATCTTATCATAAGAGAAGCTACATATAATTAAGTGAATAAATATAAATAGTTACCAGGAGCAAAACCACACATGGTCTCGTTAGCTCTATCATGTGGCATGAGTAAATGCTTGTACTAGGACTGAGTGATATACAATGAAAGACATCATAAGGAGATAGTCTTTATTATAGATTAAAGAAAGTAACATTGAATATAAATGTTCAGCAATATCTTAAGAGCACTGTCTGTTTTCTGCTTCTACAATCAATCTCAAACAATGTAAAGGCACTAAATGTTTCCTGCATTCATGTTGTTTCACCTTCCTATCTCATGCCACCAATGCATCAAAGGAACCTCTAGAGGAGGAACACAGGTAAGTCAACACGAGGAGTTATTAGGATAATATTAATAGCAAAGGCCTCATGCTGGCAGAGATTAGTAAGATATAGCTGATGTCTGTGAAAAAGTCATGTTTCCTGCAAGTTAAGAGTTAAAACAACAACAAAAGAATGACAAAAACACTTTCTCTCTCCCCCCTCTTCTCTTAATTTTATAAAAGCAGCATGCTAAGAGAGGCTGTAAAAGATTGCCAAAACCCAGGTTACTGGCCCTTGTATTAAATAGTATTTCAAATACAGATGACCCTTGAACAAAACAAGGATTAGGGTCACTGAACCCTCGCAGCAGAAAATCCAGATATAACTTTACAGTCCACCCTTTGTATTCACTGTTCTGAATCCACAGGTTCAACCAACCACGGACCATGTAGTACTGAAGTATTGAAAAAAATCCACATATAAGTGGACCTGCACTGTTCAAACCCATGCTGTTCAAGGATCAACTGTAATCATATTTACATGATGATATTAGGGAACTGGAGGTGTTTTTAGATATATTTCTAAAAAGTGATTTAATAAGGTTTTATTGTAGTAATCAGACTATATTATAGCTATGCATAGGTGTCTGTATCACTTTTCTATACTGCATAGCAAATTACCACAAATGTAGCAGCTAAAAACAGCACATATGTATTATCTTGCAATTTAGGTGGGTGAAGCATCCTGGTTTAATTTTATAGATCATCTACCTTGTTCTTTCTTGTTCATAAGGTGGAAGCAACATTCTTTTGCAATTTTCTACAACTTAAACAGAAATGGAAGGCCCCAGTACTTAGATATTACTGTCTGGTACACATAAAATTCTACAAAGATGCCTCTGTTATCAGTCTTTCATATCTTATTTCAAAGAGGAAAAAAATCTATACAAAAACTGAGCAACTGCTGAGTTACCCTTACCTAATTCCTATGAAATGAGATAAGCATTTAATTGTGTATTTTCATCAGTTAAAACATGATCTGGAAGAAGTGTAATTCAATAGATTAAATTATGTGTACTTAAAAGTGAAAATAAGTGAGAAGAAAATTTAATAACAATAAAATAGATAGTTACAATGATCATTTTCATATTTGGTTTATAATTAGGTAGGAATAATAATTAGATAACCCTTTTATTTTAATTCCAACTAAGTTTTTTATTTCAGTACTGAGATAAGAATGTTATTGGTATATTGACCATTTAAAATATTTCAAATAATGCTTAAAAGAAACAAAAAGTAAAACGAATTATTTAATTCAAATAACATTTCAAAATTTGTGTAATTTTATAACTTTATCAGGAAGAGCATATGTTTCATATCATTTTATTAATAATACGCAAAGTGCACCAATAGTTTTTATTTAAATTATGCAATGAGATGGTATACATGAGTGTCACCAGTGAGAAAATTTTACCAATATTAAAGGTTCTGAAAATTAAAAAGAATCATAAAAATTAAAACCATGATACTTCTAACTTTCATTTTACCTGCAGTGTGAGACCCTTTACTGCATTCCATACTACTCCAATAAACTCCTTCATTCTTTCTTCAGGACTTCTACAGCCTTCAGCTATATTCAGCATGGCTTTCACAGGAACTGACAATGGTCTGGATTCTAAGAATAAGAATAGCTAGAGTTATTTAACATAAATGTACCTTATAGTTTCACATAAATATACAGAAAATATTTCCAATATTATTTCTTTCCTTGTTTAAAATTAAAACTTCTATATGAGATTATAAAATATATTAGATCATTTTATCTTAAAGAATTACTGATTTTTACAATTATTCAAAACCAAGCAAACCTCATCTGTTAAAACTCAAGAGAGTGTTGATGACTTGTCAGGGATTGATGATTGGGAGGTAGGTTTGTGGAGCAATGGTAATTTTCTATTTTTTTAATACATGGATGTGTTTATATTGTGAAAATTTATTAAATGGTAACCTAACAATCTGTTCGTTTCTCAGCATGAAGTTAATACATCAATAAAAATCTTACTTGATGAGAAAGAAAATTCAACTACAAAGCACTTGCTTCATCCAAAATTGATATAAAATGTATCTTCCCGTATGTGAATTGTCTTGATAACAAAAGCTTACTCATAGTATCTCTCAATTTTTTTTCTTTTTTCTTTATTTTTTGATGGTAAGCAAAAGAAGCATTGAACACATAAAAGGCAGATATATGTTAAGAAAAATTTTGTTCATCTAAAATAAAGAACTTAGAGAACTTTGACAATTTTTATAATGTAAATTTCAGAAATTAAATATTTATAACAATATATTATATCTGGACAGATCCATATGTATTTATATATTTTAAGTTAATGCAAACATATAATTTATAGGTGCTATTTTAAATACCATAAAATAAATAAATCAGATCTTGCTTTTCAAGACTTTTACTAAGTTAGGTTTGATGATCATAGGACGGTCTCCAAAGTAACTGCTACCATATCACCACTATGAGAATGACAATTGCTGTATCTAGGCATACTTTCCCTCTCCTCTCAATTTGGGTCACATATTTGCAGATTTACAATATCTTAACGGCATGGAGCATAAACCTTTTATTCTCATAATCCCACAGTCTACCACATCATACATATTAGAAATTCAAAAATTGTTTGTTTAAAAGAAACAAAAACAGTTTGAGAGAGACCCATGGAGCTGGAAGCAGAGCATTCTAGGCAGATGGAACAACAATGTGAAGGCCCAGGATGGGAGTGTACTTAGGATTTTCAAGCAACAGTATAAAAGCAAGGATGGCTAGAACAGAGTAAGAGAGAAGTGCGAGACAAGGTCAGAGCTATCAACAGAGACCAAATCATACAGGGCTTACATAGGCCATGGTAAGGAGGCTGGGTTTTACTTCGAGGGAGCCAGGATATGAAAATGGATTCTAAATACATTCATGAAATTAATGGACATTATTTTAAGAGAACTTCTCTAGCGACTGTGCAGAAAACTGTCTACATAGATCAAGTATCAAAACAGGAAGACAAGTTGTGAGAGATGGTAGTAGCAATGGAGGTAGGAAGAAACAGTGTTCCTGTATCCATTTCCAAGATACAGCCAACACAATTTACTGATGGACTAGAAGTTCAGTAAGAGAGAAAAGCAAAACAAGGATGCCTCCAAGGTTTTACATCTGATCAAATGGAAGAATGGAGCTGTACGGGGAGAAGAATCAAGAAGAAAAGAAATTTAGTTTTAGAACCGTCAGGTTGAGATTTTCATTACATGTTCAGATGAAGATATCCAAGTAGCATATGGATAAACAACAACAAAAAATGGAAAAGAATATGAACAGATAATTCATAGAAAAATATAATTTGGCCAATAAACTTATTAAGAGACGCTCAACTTTGCTAACAATGAAATAAAAATTAAGGCAACAATCAGATATCCTTTTCAACTGTCATTTGGCAAACATTTTAAAGAGTTAATTCGTATTTTTAAAAATCCAACATTATCTAAGCTCCTTGTTAGAATGTTTCATATACAGGGAATATAAATTAGTATAGTCCATAGAGTGGAATTACAAGACAGGACATTTTGTATTTATCAAAATTTAAACATGCAAGTTTTTTCTAAAAAATAATCTCATTTCTAAGACCCTATGCTACAGAAATACTAAAACATATGAGACATGCATACCAACAATTTATAAAAATGTTTAGTATCAGCAGTATTAGTTGAAATAGCGAAACAGAGGGAGGGAGGGAGGGGTAAGGGGAGAAAGAAAGTGCTAAGCAACTTATCTGTCCATCAAAAAAGAAATGGTTAAATTAACTTTGGAATACCTGTCATAAGGATGGTAATTCAATCATTTAAAAATGAGGAACAGTTAAACATATGACAGAAATCATATTTTTGCTATCTTATGAAGTGAAAAAAATATATATATGTGTAGTATAATCCAAATATGTTTTTAAAACAGTATGTGAGTTTAAGCATGTATCTGTCTATCTCATACACAGAAAGAGTCATAGAAGGGTAAAATACAAACCCTTGACAGAGGTTACCTCTGAGGACAGTAAAATGGAATTGATGAGGAGTAAGGGGGAGGAAGTGTTTAACTTTTTACTGTATATTTCAGAATTAATGTTTTACAACAATGAATTACCTATTATAATTTTTTAAATAAAACACACCTTAATTTACTTTCCATTTACTTGGACTTCATTGTTATTCTTTTACATTTTAGCAGTTATGAGAAGAAAATGGCTACATAAACTCATTACAGAACTCTGCCAATTTAAATAACTAACTTAAATGTAGACCAACCACATAAAAGCCTTCAGACAACTGTTTAGAGAAGCTTTATTCATAATCGCCAAAACTTGGAAGCAACCAAGATGTCCTTCAGTAGGTGAACTGCTAGAAAAAATGCGGTACACCTAGAAAATGGAGTATTACACATTACTTAATAGAAATGAGCCATAAAAACACATGGAGGAAAGTTAAATGCATATTACTAAGTGAAAGAAGCCCATCTGAAAAGGCTTCATACTGTATGATTCCAAATATATGACATTCTGGAAAAGGCAGAACTATGGAGACAATAGTTAGGAAGGAGAGAGGAGCAACAGGCAGAGCACAGAGAATTTTTAGGGCAGTGAAACTACTCTGTATGTCACTATAACGGAGGGTACATGTTATTATACATTTGTCCAAACTGAAGGAACGTATAACACCATGAGTGAACCCTAATGAAAACTATGGACTTTGGGTGATAATGATGTATCAATATAAATTCATCAATTATAACAATGTACCACCTTGGTGGGGGATTTTGATAGTGAGGGTGACTATGCATGTGTAGGGGCAGGGGATATGTGAGAAATCTCTGAATCTTCCCCTCAATTTAAATGTGAGTCTAAAACTGCTCTAGAAAATAAATTCTATAAATATATATTTTTTTAATGCAGACAAATTTTTTTGTTTTTTCTTGGTTGCGTCGGGTCTTCATTGCAGCACGTGGGGTCTTCGTTGAGGCATGAGGGCTTCTCTCTAGTTGTGGTATCAGGGTTTTCTCTCTCTAGTTTTGGCGCGTGGAGTCCAGAGAGTGTGAGCTCTGTAGTTTTTGGCACGTGGGATCTTCGCTGAGGCACACGATCTCAGTAGCTGCGGGGTGCAGGCTTAGTTGCCCGCGGCATGTGGGATCTTAGTTCTCTGACCAGGGATCGAACCCACATCCCCTACATTGGAAGGCGGATTCTTTACCACTGGACCACCAGGGGAGTCCCAAGACCAAATTTTAAAACTCTTTGAAACCATGGATACCAAAGGTTTCCACAAAAGCTGCTTATGGTCAAATTTTAAAATCTACTGATACAGAATATTAGTGTTGTATAAATAATGTTATCACAGTCTGAAAATAAATCCACCTAATAAATGATAATATTATCAAGCAGATGGGACACCATTACCTGATTGCTAAGTAATATTTCAAGTCACTATTAACCAAAAAAGCCACACGTTTATTGTAAATGCTGAATTTGCTGATAGAATGATTTAAGAAGTTAAAGGAGGTGCTGAAATCTATATGTGGCTTAAAAGTGCTTTCCAAAAAGCTATGAAAAACACAATCAGTTTAAAATTCTCATTAAATAGCATGATCTGGCTATTAGAAGTGTAAAAGCACACTATTTTGGATATACTAATTTTCTTTTTTTTAAACATCTTTATTGGAGTATAATTGCTTTACAATGGTGTGTTAGTTTCTGCTTTATAACAAAGTGAATCAGCTATACATATATATATATATATCCCCATATTTCCTCCCTCTTGCGTCTCCCTCCTACCCTCCCTATCCCACCCCTCTAGGTGGTCACAAAGCACCGAGCTGATCTCCCTGTGCTATGCGGCTGCTTCCCACTAGCTATCTACCTTACATTTGGTAGTATATATATGTCCATGCCACTCTCTCACTTCGTCTCAGCTTACCCTTCTCCCTCCCCATGTCCTCAAGCCCATTCTCTGTGTCTGCATCTTTATTCCTGTCCTGCCCCTAGGTTCTTCAGAACCATTCTTAGATTCCTGGATATACTAATTTTCAATCCATCATATTATCTAAAAGACAATGGGAAGACAAGTTTGTTTTTAAAAAAGAGAAAAATTTCTTTTCTGTAATCATGTATATTTTACAGGTAGCACATGTATACTCTATAAAACTGCCAATCTTGAGCCATACTTTATTTAACCGAAACTTCTGTAACATCTACTACATGCCAGGGACTGCTATAAGCGCTTTACAAATATTCACCAATTTAAACCTCATAACAACTCCATAAGGAAGACACTATTATTTACTCTTATTATCACCATTTTCAGATAAGGAAACTGATCACAGAGAGGTTAAGTAACCTATCCTAAGTCACCCAGCTGATAAGCGGCAAAGCTGGAATAAGAAACTAGGCAGTCTAACTCCAAAGTCCAGGCTTTTTAACTACTATGCTATGATGCCTCTTCTGTTTTTTCATACCTTGTGCAGTGGCTTCCATTTCTACCAAATACATGATAAATGTATATTTCTACTAAGGATCCTGGTACTGCAAATAGTTCAGAAAATATATTTGTTCATTCTCACTGGAGCTATATAAACCC